TCCCACACGCATTACTCCTACATCCAGATCAAAGCTTGACAATGTACTAAGTAATCTACATATTCACGATATTTCCACTGGAACTGTAGATATTGATATAGCTGACCACTGTGGTATCTATTTGATCATTAATAATATGAAGACCAATAATAATAAAAATAATAATAAAAAATGTATAACAAGGCGCAATATAAATCCGAGAACCCTAGAAAATTTTGCAAAATCAATTTCGGATGTAAATTGGAATGATCTGGAACTAGAGATCTTGCAAGCTAGCGATATGTCCAATAAAATATTGGGCATTCTTAAAGACACCAGCGATAGCAGTTTTCCCATTAAAAAATACCAAAACCGAAATAAAGGGGCGGAGTGGTACAATCGAGAGCTTCGTGAACAGAGGAGAGAGGTATTCTCAATGAAGGCTCGTTTTAATAAAACCAATTCGATGATTGATTGGAATCTCTACAGAGAATCACGCAAAAAGTATAAACAGGCCCTAAGACAAACAAAACGTGATTATTATAGAAATGTGATCGAGAAATCGGACAACAAAAGTAAAAGTGTGTGGAAAATTGTTAACTCTGAGAGAAACGCTAATAAAACTAAGCGTACAACATCAACGCTCTCTCCTGAGGATTTAAACTCTTTTTTTGTCTCCGTAGCCGACATGATTATTTCCACCATAAATAACGGTATCGAAAGTCCTTCCACTTACATCAATAAATTGCCGAAACCTAGTTTTTCATTTTTTATGCCACCCATTGTCGAGTCTGATATTAGGCTAGCCATCATTCAACTAAAGAACTCAAAATGTATAGACCACTACGGTTTAAATAGCACTATGATGAAAATTGCGTCTGAGTCTATCGTTACACCACTTTGTTTGTTGTTCAACAAATGTTGCGAAGAAGGGCTTTGGCCTGATGAACTCAAAATAAGTAAAGTCGTACCCATACACAAAAAGGGAGATACAAACACTTTGGATAATTATAGACCCATCGCAATTGTTCCTATTATAGGCAAGATATTGGAAAAAATTTTGAAAGAAAAATTAATTAATTATTTTGAAAGCAAAAGTATCCTTTCTACACATCAATATGGGTTCAGGAAGCATAAATCGACTGTTAAAGCTCTATTATCTGTCATTGATGACATAACTGATGGCATGGATAATGGAACTAGTACTACGGCTACTATGTGTGACTTATCTAAAGCTTTCGACTGCGTCAGTACTGAGATTTTGCTTGAAAAACTAGAATTCTATGGCATTAGAGACCAAACTCTAAATTTACTTTCGAGTTACCTCCATAATCGGAAGCAGTATGTTTCCCTTAATAACTTGGAGTCCTCAATGTCATCTGTAGTGAGAGGGGTGCCTCAAGGCTCTGTTTTAGGTCCACTATTATTTATAGTCTACATCAACGATCTACCGACATCAATTGACGGTGCCACTGTCATCCTTTTCGCTGATGATACAACTATTTTGACCAAGGACAATATAGCCTCAAACAGAGATTATGTCTCAATGGCCAAAAAGTGGTTTGACTCGAACGAATTAAAACTAAATGAGAGTAAAAACCAATCTATTGTTTTTACATCTAGTAAAACGACAGACATATTGGAGCCAGTTAAACTTCTCGGTGTGACAATTGACGCTGGACTTAACTGGAATAGTCACATTGATGGTCTCTGTTCGAAGTTGTCTACGCAGTTATTCGCTCTCGGACAAATGCGAAATGTACTCGATAATAAAACATTAAAAACCGTGTATTATGGACTAATCCATAGTCAACTCACTTACGGTGCTGTGCTTTGGGGCAATGCCAGTCACGCACACAAAGTTTTTATACTTCAAAAAGCTGCTGTGCGGATTGTCGATGGTGTAGAGTTTGACACGCACTGCAGGCCATTGTTCAAAAAACATCGAATAATGCCTTTACCATGCATATACATACTAGAGAACATAATAAACATTCATAGTAGTCTTAATAAGTTTTTTAGGCATGCAGATGTACACCATCACAACACAAGGAACAATAATAATTTAGTGCCGCTCAAATCTAGGCTACATGTAACCGAAAATAACAAATTAAACACTAAACTCTTTAATTTTTTCCAAGACCTACATAACGAATTAAATCTAAAATCACTTAATACAAAACGGGTCCAGAAATTGGCTAGAGAATTCTTACTTGAGGAATGTTTTTACTCAGTTGAGGAATATTTAAATTTTAAAAAATCGTAACCCACTTGTTGTAATTCTTTTTTATACATACTTTTATTACACTTGTGTCATTTTAATTTATTTGTAAAAAATTTGTTTCACTTGAAGTGTTTTATTTTTTAAAAGTGTTTTATTTGTTAAAAATTTGTTCTGTTATTATATTTTATTTTTTTTACGTATTTGTTTTTAATGTATATTTAAATGTTTTTTTTTAATAAGTTCTAAATATTGACAATTTTATCTTTATCTATATTTGATTGACTATTTTAATATGTAATTGTAATTTTTAAATCGTAAACGTTGTGACCCTTATGTACTATTATTGTATGAATTACTGGTCAATAAAATATCTATCTATCTATCTATTATTATTATTATTATTATTATTATTATTATTATTATTATTATTATTATTATTATTATTATTATTATTATTATTATTATTATTATTATTATTATTATTATTATTATTATTATTATTATTATTATTATTATTATTATTATTATTATTATTATTATTATTATTATTATTATTATTATTATTATTATTATTATTATTATTATTATTATTATTATTATTATTATTATTATTATTATTATTATTATTATTATTATTATTATTATTATTATTATTATTATTATTATTATTATTATTATTATTATTATTATTATTATTATTATTATTATTATTATTATTATTATTATTATTATTATTATTATTATTATTATTATTATTATTATTATTATTATTATTATTATTATTATTATTATTATTATTATTATTATTATTATTATTATTATTATTATTATTATTATTATTATTATTATTATTATTATTATTATTATTATTATTATTATTATTATTATTATTATTATTATTATTATTATTATTATTATTATTATTATTATTATTATTATTATTATTATTATTATTATTATTATTATTATTATTATTATTATTATTATTATTATTATTATTATTATTATTATTATTATTATTATTATTATTATTATTATTATTATTATTATTATTATTATTATTATTATTATTATTATTATTATTATTATTATTATTATTATTATTATTATTATTATTATTATTATTATTATTATTATTATTATTATTATTATTATTATTATTATTATTATTATTATTATTATTATTATTATTATTATTATTATTATTATTATTATTATTATTATTATTATTATTATTATTATTATTATTATTATTATTATTATTATTATTATTATTATTATTATTATTATTATTATTATTATTATTATTATTATTATTATTATTATTATTATTATTATTATTATTATTATTATTATTATTATTATTATTATTATTATTATTATTATTTATTTATTATTATTATTATTATTATTATTATTATTATTATTATTATTATTATTATTATTATTATTATTATTATTATTATTATTATTATTATTATTATTATTATTATTATTATTATTATTATTATTATTATTATTATTATTATTATTATTATTATTATTATTATTATTATTATTATTATTATTATTATTATTATTTATTATTATTATTATTATTATTATTATTATTATTATTATTATTATTATTATTATTATTATTATTATTATTATTATTATTATTATTATTATTATTATTATTATTATTATTATTATTATTATTATTATTATTATTATTATTATTATTATTATTATTATTATTATTATTATTATTATTATTATTATTATTATTATTATTATTATTATTATTATTATTATTATTATTATTATTATTATTATTATTATTATTATTATTATTATTATTATTATTATTATTATTATTATTATTATTATTATTATTATTATTATTCTTATTATTATTATTATTATTATTATTATTATTATTATTATTATTATTATTATTATTATTATTATTATTATTATTATTATTATTATTATTATTATTATTATTATTATTATTATTATTATTATTATTATTATTATTAAATTACAACGTGTGCTCTCTGCTCTTCTCTTTCCTGCTACTTCAATCATGATCTTGTACTCTATGTATTTATGGTAACTATGGGTCTCCTCCTTTTGAACGTTCCATCCGTGTAACTTGTCTGTCGCAACCGCCGTAGCAAGTGTGATATTCAAGTGGGATCTGCTGTCTCCCCTTTCGAACGTCGGAATTCCTGAATCATTTATTATGGACAGGTTTAGTGCATCCACCCATTCCGCAATAATGGTTCCTCTTGCGTCTGTCGTGGGGAACCCCATAGTGGTGACTTCGCATTTAGGTCTCCCACTATCAATGCCTCCCTGTGTGCGGTCCTTACCTCCTCAAAAATTTCATCCAACCTACTCTTATACTCCTCGTACCCCAGATTGGGCGACACATAACAGCTGCTTGAACTGCCCTACAACCGCTCCACCTATCCTTTTATGGCTCTCTATGCCTACATTTTTATTTCTACAGTAGATCGCCGCATCTTTGCGTAGATCCACTAACCAATTCCCCTTACTCGCTATTTTCTTGTTCGGTTCGCTTATTACAAGTATATCAGCATTTGTTTTGGCTGCGTGTGCAAACGCTAGATCATGCGCGGTTCGGGATCTTCCCAAATTTATCTGTAGCACTTTTACTGCAACATGTGATGGCATCCTTACTGTGTGGAGTTGGTCTTCCTCCTGACCTCCTTTTCATGTTTGTCCTTCAGTAATGTTTTGAAGTGCGGACACTTCATTTCACTGTTTCGGTGTCCCCTTGTCTTACACGTAAAGCAGTATGACTCTTTTTCACATCCTTTCTCCTTGTGCCCCTTCTCGCCACACTTCCTGCAGGCATCTGCATTATCTTCCTCCTTACATTCGGATTGTTGGTGTCCATATTGCAGGCATCTGAAGCACCTAACCAGGTGTACCCATTCTCTAGTGCGGCAGTTGATCAACCCGACCCTTATTCTGCCAGCCCTTAAGAGCTTTTCTGCAATATCTTTCCTTGCAGCCACTATCGCAGCCTGTCCACCGTTTCTGTTGGTCCTCATCGACCTAATTTTTACGACCTCCCTATCGTTGGTTCCCGTTACAGTCATAATGGCTTCTATCAAATCCTCATCTGTAGTTGCCCCATCGATATCTGAAATATGCACGATCTTTTCCTCTTGGAGGGTTCTTGCCTCTGTCCCAGAGACCTTATTTTGTATTTCCTCTTGAAGCCATTTAGCATTTCCTTTGCTTACTTCGAATATTATATCCCCTTTCGCAGTTTTTCTTATGCTTGCAACCTCTACCCCTTTCTGTTTCACATTTACCTTTTCCTTAATATCCTTAAGGAGCTCAGCGTATGTTTTCCCTTCACTTTTCACATGAATCTTCTCTTTCTTGGGGCCTCCCTCCCTCTCCTTTTCATCTGGTTCTCCCATTATGGAAAACCTAATCTCTACATCGCTAAAAACATACTCAAGGATCTTCCTAAGCTGCTCCCCCATTTCCATTACTACTACTGTGGCATTCATGACATTTCTTTCTTTCATGTTTTCACGTAAGTCTCTGATCAGGTGGTATCCTATCTCATTGTTTTCCCTGTCTTCCCATGGTGCTAGGTAAACCGCGTTAGTTACTTCCACGTTTTGTTCTTTTCTTGACGTTCTGGTGGTTTGAACCATGTAGTCTACCTGACCGTCATTTCCTTTAATCAACTCCTCATACCCTGGAAATCGTATGGCTAATCTTTCCCTCCATTTGTTTGGTTTCTCGCAGCCCTTCTTTTCTACCACTACAACGTTCTCTGCATTGTCCAGTTCTGAATGGTTCATGCGTACTATTTTCGTCTTCCTATATGCGTTATCTGGCCATTCCAGTTCTATTATCTTTCTAAGTCCTTCATAGCCGGTATCTTCAGCTAGCGTCTTTCTGATCTCTACTTCCTCCGCCTTTCTCCTTTCATCCTCATTTATTATTTCTCCATCAGCCCGAGTACCGATTTCCCTTGTTACTAATATTTCCGTCTGTGTATCGATTTCCTTTGTTACTGATATGTCCGTCTGCGTAGCGCTGTCCATTTTATTTGCACATGGCACCTCGCTGATGTCCTTTGTCTCCACTTTTACCCTTTGTGCAGCGTAGTATAATTCTTTAATCCTATCTTTAATTATTGTCTTCGTGTTTTGATTCTGTTTAATCAGATCCATGAGATTTTCTGCAATATTTACCATGCTGAGATTACCCATAAACTCTTGTCCGTTTTTTTTTCCTTGTCCGGTTTCTTTTTCTTGACTTGTTCGGGCGTGTCCTTTTCTCTCCCTCTTTTGTTGCTCTTATTTGTATCCTCGTCCTCACTGCTAATCGTAACCAAGGTTATCTCTGGGGAGTTGTCTAACAATGATTTTAGGTACCCATCTGGACCCGCATTTAATTTTAAACTGACTGCTGTGTCGTCTCGTTCCCAGCTCAACATTCTCTCCAAAGAGGTTTTATCAATGACCGCCGTTGGCGTGTTAAATTTTTCATTTTCATCAGAAATATCACTACCTCTTCTCCCTGGTGGCAGTGAATGGAGAAGCGAGTCCCTCCTTTCAAAAGGGTCTATCGGTTCTTTTTCTTGCTTCTAGGGTTTTCCCTGTTCCTGATTCTCATTGCTTTTTTATTTTTTGCTTCTATTTATTTTTTGTCCTTATTTTCTTTGCCCTGTCTAGACACTTCTTTGTCTACCATTTCTTCCCCCTCTGTCCCCAAGTTGTTTTCAAAATCTGACATCTATGTCCCACGAGTAGGGTCGAATTTTCTGTCCAGCGGTGCAGTGCGCCCTTACACCGCTAAGGCATTCCTTTCGGCTACCCCGCACGCCCTCGCCATGGCGCCGGGGGGCTGCTCGCGACCCTCTTCGGGGGGCCATTCATCCCTCGCCGCAGTCCCAGGTTTGGATTCCGTTTTGGTTTTTCTGTCGGGGTTTTCCTTCCCTTAGTCAACATGGTCCCCGTTTTATGGCGCCGGGAACTCGCCATTCGCCTTCCCTGTTCAGGATCGGACTTGCCAGTTTGCTTTTGTTAGCTGGGCTGATGTTCTTGAACTGGTATTTATTGGTGTCACCTAGTCGACATCAGTGACCCCACCAGTGGCCTCACCGACCATTTTGGGCTGTTTGTCGACTTCACTACCCATTCCCGTCCCGTTAAGGCTCAAGAGCAGGGAGCTACTGAACCACTCCACCAACGGTAAGGTCTTACAGCTCCTAGGAGTGGAACCTAACCTAACCTAACGTAACCTTTTTTTTTTTTTTTTTGAGGGGAAACCGCATGGCTCCAGCCGCTGAGTCTATGCAACTGGTAGTGCCGGGCGCTACTCCGATTAAAACCCCTCATTCACCTTTATAGTGTCCTGTACCCTTTTAGTGAATACTCCGGGACTAAAATACGAGATTTTTTAACGTCGGAGTATTCGGGGCCTTTCTCAACGATCTTAATTTTTTGTTGTTTTTTTTTTTATTTTTATGTGCCTCCCATGCTCTGATAATCCCTTTCCTCTTCTTCTTTACGTTTCATGATATTTGTTATGAGGCTTGTGATGCTACTCCAATTTTCCCGGTTTTCCAACATTTTGTTAATTATGTTGTTCACAGTGATTGTACCTACCTGGCCTTGGCTTTCAATTCTGAACTGATTCCACCTTGTGCAATTGAAAATCGTGTGTTCTGGGGTATCTTCTACCCCGCAGTATATGCAATTTGCATCATCGGATTTTCCAATTTTCCTAGTGTACTTCCGGTATGCTCCATGTCCACTCAAGAACTGGCTCAGAAAGTATGTGCTGCTGCGATGTTTGCAGTCCACCCATCTTCTTAACTCAGGAATGAGGGCCTTCGTCCATTGTCCGGTTGTTTCGTTAGCCTCCCATTTAGTTTGCCATTGGGATATGGTAGTTTGTGCTTCCTCATTTCTTATTTGTTCAGTTATGGTTTCGCCGTTGTTCTTTCTAATCTGAATCCTTACTCTTTCGTTAACAAGTAACGTGATTGGGGGTATTCCGGCTATCACGTTAACTGCTTCGGCAGAGATAGTTCGATAAGAGCTCGTGACCTTTATCATCAACTTTCTTTGGGTTCTCTGTAGCATATTACTATACGTATTTATTTTCGTTGCGCGGTGCCAGACAGGGGCGCCATATAGTAATATTGAGTGAACGGTGCTGCAGAGAACTTTTCTCTTTTCACTGCTCGGCCCTCCTATGTTGGGCATTAGTTTTGACAGGGCTGAGTGAGATTTTTCTGCCTTCTCTATTGTTTTCCTTATGTGTGCATTATAGATGAGCTATATATATTGTAATGTAATAAAATATCATGTAGAAAAGGATATGCTTAGCTAGATAAAATAACATAAATTAAAAATTTACCTTCAGTAAGAATGCATTAAAGCCATCAGAAACTTAATTTTCATGCAGCGATTAAAAGAATACTCGTTTCTATAATTTATAAGGCCTTGTACTTATATGATTCCATGAAAATCTATGTGTCATTACCTAAAATAAAATTACAATCATTAAAAATAAAATAAAATAAATTTTAATCAAAATAAAAAAAAAAAATTTCTCGAATAATTATATTATCACCCTGTACAGCAAGTTTATCAAGAAAGTTTGACAAACTTGACAATTTTCAAAAAATTGGTAAAATTGTTGCCAACATGATTTTATATGAGAAGTTTTATCTAAATTAATAAAAATTAACAACCAGAATAAAGAAATTATAATAACAATAGTATGAAATAATTTCACAAAAATAATCGGACAGTGATATTTTAAATAAAGTCTTTTAGTTAAAATTGTAAATCAAATAAATAATAGATCACTAGAAGCAAATCGTTTTGATTGGTTAAATTTAAAAAGTTATTACTTGATGAAAATTGGTAACTAAGGGGTTGTTGATTAAAAAAAAAAATTGGTGGTAGAAAATTGATAAAAGATGAAATGTATGAAAAATTTTTGAATCCCGTAAAATGATAAAAGAAAAGAATCAATCGATCAGTTATCAAGAAATTAAAGAAACCTAGTTGTAAATTTTATTTGTAATTGACAAATAGTCAGAGCAAGGTATTTATTTACTCACCTCAAAAGTGCGTTGTGCCGGCTTAGTGCGTCACAGGACAGTTTTTTTTTTCATATAAAAGATCCCGCATCTTAGCAGATGATGGTAAATTGACTTTGTTTTTATTGGAGAAGAACTTTACCATGGCTGGGAATACAGCATTCCTACTGCTAGTGATTGACCTGCAAAGAAAAAAGGATAAGAAGGACAATCTCAGTGATTATGCTTAAAGGTATTGACTGTATAATTATATTTAAATTGATATTTCTTACCTTTTAAACATATAAAGTTTTAATACAAGACAACTTCATTCAATATACCAATCATTGTAGTTTGAGGTTATATTTCTTAAACACGAATAGAAATATTCAAGGACATTGTTACCAATTCAGGTCTCATATAACTACGGGCCATATGAACTACAAATTGTGTAGAGAATGAACTGGTTTTGTGTAATAATTTAAATTTAAGTTCTTACGTTAATCAAGTATGATAGAACGAATGAATGAGTTGATATTTGACTAACCTAATTGTCTATTTAACTGTATTGTCTTTGGTTTTTCTTTTCAAATAAATGTGTATTGTTGGTTGCATAACTGATTGATTAATTTTGAAGATCATTGCAGTTTCGCAAAATTTGATAGGGGAGATTGGGACAATCTCTTATTTGCTTCTTGAAACCACTATAAATCCCTGAGAACTATAAATATTTTATGAAAGGTAATAACATTAAACAAATAACTGAGTCTCGTGCAAATTTAATAAAAAAGGAATGTTATAGGCCTATATAGGTAAGTTTCTGAAGTGCTTATCATATAACATTAATAATATTGTCATTGGCGTCTAATATAAATTTAATTTATGAGCTAGCTGAAAGGTATTATTTTCTACACTAAGAAAACAAAAAATATTTTCTTAAAAATAATTAAAATATACATACATATCATTACAATATATGCCTAAGCATCTCGCACTTTTGGTGGGAGTAATGTTCGTGCCACCGATACTAAATGTTATGCCTTTTATTATAACGGCTTCTGTTTTGTGATGCGCCAGTTCTAGGTGGTTTCGTGTCATCCAGTTATTAATCAGAGTGAGTGCTGTGTTAGACTTCACCATGAGCCCGGTAGGTGAGTTAGAACTGACTACCAGAGTTAGGTCGTCAGCATAAGCGATGGTTTCGCAGTCCTCTGGTATTTGCAAATTCAGAACCTCGTCATATAAGATGTTCCAAAGTAGTGGTCCCAGTACGGATCCTTGTGGGACCCCTTGGGTCATAGTCTTTTTGTATCCTGTGACCATGATTTCTCTGTTAGTGAAGAAACTGTTTACCATGTTCACTATCCATCTAGGGGTTTCGTTTTCGATCAATCTGTTTATGATGATTTGCCATTTAGCGGTGTTAAACGCGTTCTTTACATCGATGCAGATCATGACTGTCCATTTATAATCTGTGGGTCCTGTGATGGCTTGTACGGCTTCGACTGTCGATTTCCCGGATCTGAATCCGTACTGGGAGTCGTTTAATGTGACGTGTTCTTCAATTTTTAATTTTAGGACCTGTTCGAGAAGTTTTCCCAGGGTGTCAAGGATACAAATTGGTCTATATTTTTTGTCAGTTGGGCTTTCTTTTGGAATGAGGGCCACTCGAGCCTTTTTCCATGGTTTGGGAAACTTTTGGTGTCTGGCTCCAGGATTTCATCTGGAATAACTGACACTGCAGTCTTCACTGTTTCAGCCATGATGCCATCTGGTCCGGGGGCTTTGTTGACCTTTATTTTTTTCGCAGCAGCTATCAGTTCTTCTAGGGTAAAGTGACCATACGTGTTTGTGCGCTCCCAAGGTTCCAGCTCTTCATTCCAGTCTGGAAATAGTTCAACGACTATGTTCCTTTTCGTAGCATCCGGGAGGTCGTATTGTAGACTTTGCGTCTTTAAATGTTTGGTGACGATCTTGTATCCTTGACCCCAGACATCCTGATCTAACTCATCTAACAGAGCTCTCCAGCGCTCTTTTTTTGAGAAGTTTAGTTCTTTTTGGTAATCTCTTCTGCATGACTTATATATAAGTTCTATCGCCTCTATATCTGCAGGTAGTGCTGTTCTACCTCTCGCCCTAGTGAGTACTCTTCTCGCTGCATTGCACTCTGTGCGACGTTGTGCTACCCTTTCGTTCCACCAGTAGGGAGAAGCGTTGGGGTTCGTTTGTGGGGTCTTGATCTCGCTGGTCTTTTGGGCTGATTTCAAAATGTTGATCAACTGCTCTACTTTTCCTCTTATATTATATATCAATAGTGAGAGGGTATTTTCAAGGATCGTATGACAATACGATGTGTTTCTTTTTATGGAGGTACGTCTTTATTTTGGAAGATGTTTTCCCGGAGATTTCGAACGTTATGATCTTGTGTAAGCTGAAGGATTCTTCGGGGGAGACTGACCAGTTTACGACCCTACTATATGACCTCTCAGTGGCTAGTCCGATGTCAATATGTGATTAACTACTTCCTCTGACAAATGTGGGGGTAGGTCCATTGTTTAGAGGCGTTAAGTTTAGTGTAGCCATCCAGGTGTCCAGGTAGTCTCCCCTTTCATCTGTGGTGTCGGAGCTCCATTGTCTTGATTTAGCGTTGAAATCTCCTAGGACGATGGTTTCTGGATTGCCTTCTGTTCTGACGTCCTCCATAATTTCATCGACTATGTTTTCGTACTCCCTTATATGTATGTTAGGTGAGATGTAGCAGTTGTAGATTAGCGTGCCTTTTACATTCAGCTTGATGAAACTGTTGTTGTCACAGTTATGGTCGATGATCCCCATCTTCTTGTTTATAATAAGTGCGGCAACGTCCATTCCCCTGTCTGTGATTAGTCCCATTCTCTTGGTTTTCTTTTTGTTGGGTTCTTGGAAGAGAATTAGGCCTGCTTGAGACCTCATGGCGGCCGCAAGAGCCACGTCGTGCGCCTTGACAGCCCGGCCCACGTTAATTTGTAAAATTTTTACTTGCATTATGGAAGGGGTGAAATCTGTTTTTGATGTATAAGCGCTAGTGGGAGGAAGCGGTTGTTGGTTATCGATTAACTTAAGAGAGGCACTGACCTTGTGAGTCCGTGTTCTCTTTTGGGTCGTTCTGTCTGCGTCGTGGTTTGCGGGTTTGTTTGGTCTTTTGTGTGGGTCTCTAATGATGTATCCATATTATCCATGGAAGATACCGTGGCACGAGTCTCGTTAATGAGCTTGTCGAACTTTGTGTTGATAGAGTCGTCGAGTGGCACGTCTCCTTCCTTATGTATTTCGTGGTGTACCAGTTTTTCTTTGATACCTGTTTCTGGTTTTTCTATCAGCTCCGCCGCTTCGTCGTTGTTGTTTCTCATTCTGGGCATCTTAAGGGAGGTTTTTTCCTTTCTTCAACCCTGGCTAGTTTGAGAGCTTCCTTGAACTGGGGGCACTTTATCGTTCCTACCTTGTGCCCTGTTTCATTGCACAGGGGGCAAGCGTTTTCATTCTTGCATTCTTTCGCAACGTGATCGCTTCTACCGCACTTGTAGCAGCAGTTAGATCGATCTGGTCCGGTGCAGTGGTCCGTGTAGTGGTCGTGTGACCAGCATCTCTGACATTTCATTACGGTCAGTCTTTTCTCGACTCTACATTTCACCAGGCCAACTTGAAGAAAGCCATCTTCGACGATTAGGTCAGCATGTTCCGTCTTAAGTGTCACAGTTGCCGCAAGTGTGTCGTTTCCTAGAGGCCGGAGTTCGCTGATTTTGTTATCCTCCTCCCATTTTCCCGTGGCGATGGTTAACGCGTTCTTGATATCCTCGGCTGTTGTATCAGCTTCCATCCCTCTGACGTGTAGGGCGGTTTGCTTCTCTAGGCCCAGCCTTTTGGTTTTGAGTCCGGTATTGTCATTTTTTAGGGCATCATGTATATTTTAAGAGCCATGCTGTCTTTACCTAGGGTGAGAAGTAGCTTTCCATCCTTTGTGCTCCTGAGTCCCCTTATGTATTTAGCAGATTGGTTTGTGCCTACAATCGACTTGACCTTTCCAAGGATGCCCTTATAGGACTTCCCCCCTTCACTTACGATCATCCCGTAAGTAGACCTTACCTTTTCGGTCTCGTTTTGGCTTGCCGTGGTGTAAATAGTCACTTTCTTGTCGCATGACTGAAAGACCGTCTCCGTCATTTTCCTAAGAGTTTCTATGCTTATATTGTTTATGTGATGTATCGCAACCTGTTCGTCATGCAGGGTTTCCTCTCTGAGCATTGTTAGCTTGTTCCAAATGTCCTCGGTGGTTCCATCGTGTTTTATTTTAATTATCTTTTTTGAGCTAAGTTCCGGTTCGCATGTGTTTGATTTAATCTTAGTTATTTGCTCTATAACCTCGAAGTCCTTACTAATGTTAACAAGTTCCGGAAACTTGTCCCTGTAAAGTCTCTGGATACTATTTGTCATCTCTGGGTCTCCTGGTTCTAGTAGGACCACTTTGGTGGTGTTGTCGCTTGTAGACAAGGGATTTCCCACGGTTATCCGGGTGCTTTGGTAAACCTCCTGACCCCAGGTGTGGTTCTCTATAGATCTAAATTTTTCCAAGTTGTCGATTCCTGCCAGTGTTCTGAGTGTTTGAGTGTTCCCGTGCCACGGCTCTGTTTGAGTCGCTGCCTCCGCTGTCTTCTTTGTTGTGGTTAGTGTCTGGGATTCCATGTCGTAAGTTATTTTTTCTATTGGCTCAAATTTGTGTTCCTCTAGCCATCTCACGACGCTAGCCCTTTCAAATTCTTTGGCGTTTTTGCTGATTTGTACTATTGTTTCTTTTAGATTTTTATGTGTGTTTGGGACTTCTTTCACAATTTTATTAAGTTTCTCTATCAGGGTCCGGTTTCTCTCGATTGCTTCATTTAGTGTGTACACTTCGGTGCTTTCCCTCTGCTTGTATGGGTCCACTGCATCCAGAGAAGTGTCTAGTACTTTGCGTTTCTAACCTAACCTAACCTAACCTAACCTAACCTAACCTAACCTAACCTAACCTAACCTAACCTAACCTAACCTAACCTAACCTAACCTAACCTAACCTAACCTAACCTAACCTAACCTAACCTAACCTAACCTAACCTAACCTAACCTAACCTAACCTAACCTAACCTAACCTTTTTTTTTGAAGGGAAACCGCATGGCACCAGCTGCTGGGTCTATGCAGCTGGTAGTGCCGGGCGCTACTCCGACTAAAACCCCTCTTGAGCCATCCTAGTAGTACGGAAATTATCCTTCGATGGATATCCGATATATTACCAGTGGTATCTAGTTTCCTCTTAGTAGGTTCCTGTGCTCTCTGTCCTCCTTTTCCTTGTTTGTCATTATCTTTTTGACGTATGTGTGTATGCTTTTCCACCTTGTTTTGCTCTCAAGCATTATTTCTGTCAAATTTCTTTCCGTTATTTTTTCCCCTATTTCTATTTCTAACTGCGTTCTAAAAGTGTTCCATCTTGTGCACATAAAGAGTGTGTGAGCGGGGTTATCGTCGTTTTCGCAGTATAGGCATTCTTCGGTGTCTGTTTTCTTTATTTTTTTTGTGTAGCTCCCAAAGGTGCCGTGACCAGTCAGTGCCTGGGTGAGGAAGTAATCAGTGTTTCGAAAACTTCATTTGGCCCAGGCCTTTACATTTTTTATTAATTTTTTTTGTCCATCTCCCTGTTTCCACCTGCGTTTCCCACTGGGTCTGCCACTCGCGGTATGTATCCTCTCTCTCCTCCCTTTTTGCATTTTCGGTATGTCCATCTGCCCTTCTATGTAGCCTATCTCTCTCCCTTACAAGCATGTCCATAGGTGGTGAGCCTGTGACCACTTGGATTGCTGCGGCCGATACTGTTCTGTAGGCCCCCGCCACACGCAGGAGGGCTTTTCTCTGCGTGCTTATTAGCATATTGCGGTGTTTTTTTGTAGCGGGTCCATTCTGCCCACACTGGAGCGGCGTAAAGTATTACGGACTGGATCACGCCGTACAACAGGATCCGTTTTTGGCTGCTGGGGCCTCCTATGTTTCTTGTTATCTTTCTGAGGGCAACAGTCCTGGTTTCTGCTTTCTCTGTCACATATTTGATGTGTTGGCCGAAGGTCATACCTTGGCCTAACATAACTCCGAGGTACTTCATTTTTTTCCTTGGCACTATTCGCGTTCCCAGGATCTCTATGTCCAGACCCTCTTTTTTACCGTGCCCTTTGAGGATTATCATTTCCGTCTTTTCCGGTGCCAGGCTAAGCTCGTTTTTTTCCATCCAGTTTCCAACCGCTTCTAACGCCAGTGTGGCTACATGGCTTAGGTGTATAATGTCATTTGAGTGGACGATCATGGCAATATCGTCGGCGTATGCTATTAAGCTGGCGTTTTCTCCTAGCTGTAAGCTCAGGACGTCGTCGTATAGAATGTTCCACAGGGTTGGCCCAAGTACCGAACCCTGTGGAACACCCTTCATTGTATTTAAACTTTTTTTTCCTATCAGGATTTTACGGTTACCCAGATAACTGTCAATCATGTTCACCATGTACTGGGATATATTTCTGGATTCCAGTTTGTCCATAATTATTTTCCATGACGCATTGTTGAAAGCATTTTTAACATCCAGGGCGATCATGACTACCCACTTTGAACTAATCTCTTTTACTACGGTCGCCACTTTTTCCAATGCCTGGATTGTGGAATAACCCTTGCGAAATCCAAATTGGTTAGGAGATAAGCCCCCGTTAATTTCTAACTCCTGTTCCAATCTCGCTTTTAGTAATTTTTCCAGTAGCTTTCCAAACGTGTTTAGGAGACATATGGGTCGGTATGAGGATGCTATTTTTTCTGGTTTCCCTTTCCAGATCAGAATTACCGCCGCTTCCTTCCATGTCCTGGGAAAGGTTTGGTCTCTTAGAGTTTTGTTGTACATGTCCAGTACAAGCTCTGGCCTTGTTTTGGCTATGATTTTGACTGCCTCAGGAGGGACGCCGTCTGGTCCTGCCGCACGTTTTATTTTCATCTCTTCTATGGCTTCCTTAAGTTCTTCTTGCGTGAAATCCCTTATGGGTCCGTCGACATTTCGGTATTTGCTCGTCCTTTTTTCCGCTTCCGGGAAGAGTTCTTGGCACCACATGGTCTTTTGCTCCTGTGTGGGATTGTAAGGTGGCGCTTGCCTTCCGGCAAAACGCGTGGCAATTTGGTATCCCTGTCCCCATATGTCTCCTTCCAGTTCGTCGCACACTTTTTTCCAGGCTAGTTTTTTGGCCCTGTTTATCATTTGCCTCAGTTGCTTTTTTTGGGACGCTGCTTCTTCTGCAGCTGCAATTACCAGTGGGTCTTCCGCTAAGAGTCTCCTGCGCCGTCTTGTTAGGGTCCGACGGGATCTAATTGTTTCATTACGCTTTTCGTGGATCTCATTTGTCCACCAGTAGGCTTCGTTTCTATTTTCCGTAGTTACTATCTTAGTACTTTTGTTTGTTACGTTAACCAGCGCCGTTGCTATTTCTTGTGCAGAGTTGTAGGTGCACTTCAGGTCCCTAGCCATATTTTTTACTAGCAAGTTGGTGTCCAGTTGTTTTATTTTTCGATGTTTTTTAGGCTGTTTATGGTCTTTGTTTTCTATTTCCCATACAATGTACTTGTGATGGGTATTTATTTCCACATCTAGTATATTCCATGCCTTGAATTTTGCCGCGGTTTTGTTTGTGGCACATGTGATATCAATATGGGTCCTACTGCTTCCCCTTTCGAAAGTTGGTTCGCCATTATTTATGAACTCCAGGTTTAGTTCCGCGGCCCAGTCTTCTATATAGCAGCCTCTCTCATCTGCAGTTGGCGACCCCCATAGCGGAGATTTTGAGTTTAAATCCCCTGCAATGACTGCCTCCTTTGAGTGTTTTGCGTCATTCATGACCCGGTCTGCATAAACTTGAAATTGACCGTTCGTTATGTTGGGGGAGCAGTAGCACCCGTATACTACATATTGCGCGAACTCGATTTTGACAAATCCTTCCCCTATCTCATGTCCTGTAATGCCCATGTTTTTATTGGTTATATAGACGGCCACATCGTTGTTTAGGTCCATTATATACCCCTTGTTTTTTGAGATATTGATATTAGGTTCCGATATTATGACAAGATCGATTTCTATTTTCTTAGCAGTGGAATACACCAGGTCATGAGCCGCCTTGGACCTACCTGCGTTGACTTGTAAACACCTCATCTTCCTCTGTTAGGCTCCTTCCTACGGTTGTCCTACGGGTGGGCCTCCGTTTAGCCTTCCTTTGATCCTCGATTTCCCTGGACCGTTTGTTGACTTCGTCCCTAAATACGGGGCATGCCATTTGGTCTGCTCGGTGTCCCTTCTTATTACAATTTGTACAGAACCTTTCCTTTAGACACCCTTTGGCTTTGTGTCCTACCTCGTTACAGTTTAGGCAATGGTCTGATCTGTCCGAGCCCTTGCAGTCTATCGTGCGGTGCCCAAAGTCTAGGCACTTGTAGCACCTGGTCAGAGATATCCTACCTCTTACTCGGCACGACATCCAGCCGATTTTTAGAGTTTCCCTTCTCAGGATATTTCTCGCTGCATCCCTGTCTATGGTTATCATCGCGTTCTGGTTCCCATTTCTATTTTCCCTCATCTTGATTTGGATTTCACCTTCTATTTTCCGGCAGTTCCCTATGATCACTTGCCTAATATCCTCTTCTGTGATATCAGCCTCTATGTCGGATATGTATATGGTGCTCGTGTCCCGCCTAATTTCGACTTTTGAGCCATCATTTTCCTTTTCGATCGCACCTTTAAATGCCTGTGCTTTCTCCTTTCCTCCCAGCACCTCTAGCATTACATCCCCTTGTGCTGTTTTCCTAATATTTTTGACTTTAACCCCTATACGTTCAAGGTTAACGGTCTCCCTTATGCTCCTCAGGGCACTAGCATAGTCCTTTCCTTCAGTTTTAAGTATGATCTTTTCAGTTTTCAGATCTGCAGGCTCTTTGTTTTGTGGTTTGTTGTTCCATACGGTAATTTGTGTAACCGTCTTATGAAAAATCGCCTCCGTACATTTTCTCGCATATCTATCATCCAGTTGTTCTTGGATCATGAGGTTTATGTTTCTCTCTCCTTCTGGGATCTTTCCTTTCACTTCCTCCATTCTTTTATACATCTCCTCAACTTTGTGGTTCGCTTCGAGAGGGACCACCCATAGGAAATTGGATATTTCCTTCGTCGTCCCGTTTTCCCCCATCATCTCCGTCGTCTTTTTCACCTGCTGTACACTCTGTATTCCACTTTTGATAACCGGTCTGATGTCCGTGAAACGTGTGCATACTTCTCTAGCCAGGTGTGTTTCCATTTCACTTTTAGGATCTACGAGTACGATCATGTCTCCCGAGTCCATCATTTTTTATCTTGGCCGAGCTTTGTATTTTTATATAGCCTCTCTGGCCAGGGTAGGTCAAGAATTTTTTTTGTCTCCTCCCAGTCTCCTCCTTTTTCCAGCTGCTGTTCGCACATCTGTTCCTCCTCTAATCTGGTAACCCTTCGTTCTTCCTCCATCATCTTGGGGTCCACCTGCGTCCCGAATGATTTCATTTCTTTACTTGGGGTGTCCTTTCTCTCTCTACGACTTGCTTTTGCTTCCTGTTCACTGTGTAGATCGAGTTCAAAATCTTCCATTTTTATTTTAATTCTCTCCATCTTCCTCTTCAATTCCTTTACTCCGTTTTTAATTTCAACTTTGGTATTGGAGTTGGCGGTAGCCAAATTATACAGGGTTACCGACACCTTTTGTATTTCGTCCATCATTTTTTTAATGATATTATATTTTGTATTTTCCTTTTCTTCCGGACTTCTCCCTCTCTTTCTATTTCCTTGTTCTTTTGGAGTGTTCTCATCCTTATTTTCGTCTTCGCTTGTCACATCTATTGCCATGATCCCTATCACTTCCGGTGGTGGTGATCTGTTTAACGATAGCCTTCTGTTATGCTTTTCTACTAGCATCTGCTCAAAAGCCAATCTCTCCTTTTCTTCGTTTATTTTTTTTTGTTCCTCTTCCCATTTTTTATCTTGAATTTCCCCTGTTTCTCCTGTATTTTTTTCCTATGTATTAAAAGTTTGTTCCATGTTCGTCCCACGAGTAGCTAGGGAAAAATTCTGTTCGCTCCTACAGAGCCCCGCATGTAGAAGCAAGGCATTCCTTAGGCCTTCACCTTCGGCTACCCCGCACGTCCTCGCCATGGCGCCGGGGGGCTGCTCGCGACCCTCTTCGGGGGGCCATTCATCCATCGCCGCAGTTCCCAGGTTTGGATTCCGTTTTGGTTTTTCTGTCGGGGTTTTCCTTCCCTTAGTCAACTTGGTCCCCGTTTTATGGCGCCGGGAACTCGCCATTCGCCCTCCCTGTTCAGGATCGGACTTGCCGGTTTGCTTTTGTTAGCTGGGCTGGTGTTCTTGAACTGGTATTTATTGGTGTCACCTAGTCGACATCAGTGACCCCACCAGTGCCCCACCGACCATTTTTTGAGCTGTTTGTCGGCTTCACTACCCGTTCCCGTCCCGTAGGGCTCGAGAGCAGGGAGCTACTGAACCACTCCACCAACGGTAAGGTCTTACAGCTCCTAGGAGTGGGACCTAACCTAACCTAACCTAACCTAACCTAACCTAACCTAACCTAACCTAACCTAACCTAACCTAACCTAACCTAACCTAACCTAACCTAACCTAACCTAACCTAACCTAACCTAACCTAACCTAACCTAACCTAACCTAACCTAACCTATCCTAAGCTAACCTAACCTTTTTTTTTTTGGAGGATTCAAAATGCATTTACGCACTCACAGCTTGATCTAGTTGCTGTGTTGTGTGGGACTCCAGATGTCTAATACCCACTAAAAAAACCCCATCTTTTGCAGTAACCCTTCCATCCACCCCGGGACCACCTTGCGGTTTTACATGGGGGTATGTGTCTCCATTGCTGATTTTAAGGTTTACACGTTAGTTCTTTACGGTGTCTATTGTGTTCTTGTGGTTTCTCATTCTTATACTCCACCCATTTCCTGAAAGTATCTCTCTTCCTCTTCTTTACGTTTCATGATGTTCCTTATATCCCTTGTGATGGTGTTCCAGTTTTCCTTGTTGTCGATAATTTTATTTACTATGTTTTGTGATGTAAGATTTAGTCCTCTAATTTGATCCCTTTCGTTCCGCCATCTGATGCATGAAAATATTGTGTGTTCCGGTGTATTTAGTTCTCCGCAGTATATACAGTTTGGGTCTGAAGCTTTTCCTATTCTATGAGTGTAGCTCCTAAACGAGCCGTGCCCACTTAGGAACTGTGTTAGGTATTAGTCCGTTCTCCTGTGCTCACAGTTTATCCAAGGTTGTTGCCTTGGGATCAGAATTTTTGTCCATTGTGCCACTTGCTCGGTTTTGTCCCATTCCTCTTGCCACATGGTGATGGAGTTTTCTTTTTCCTCCCTTCTGGTGTTGTCTGTTATTTCCTCGCCTGTTTTTTTCCTTGAGTGAATTCTCACTCTTTCCTTCACCATTAGGTTGATGGGTATGATGCCCCCGATGACATTTGCAGCTTCCCTGGAGATTGTGCGATAGGCATTGGATATTTTAATCAGTATCTTTCTCTGTATTCCTTGTAGCTTTTTGCTGTAGGTTTTTATGTCAGTTGCCCTGTGCCATATCGGTGCTCCGTAGAGAAGGATAGAGTGTACCACATGGCTTAGGATGATTCTTTTCGTTTGGGAGGGGCCGCTTATGTTTGGCATAAGCCTCGCGAGGGCGGCATACGATTTTTCTGCCTTCTCAATGGCCTTGTTTGTGTGTTCGTTATATATCAACTTATCGTCAATATATATTCCTAGGCATTTTACGCTTTTCGTTGGCGTGATGACCATGTTCCCAACGTTAAAAGTTACCCCTGTTCTATCCCTAGGTCCCTTGAATATGACCGCGGTTGTCTTTTGTGCTGCCAGTCAGGTTGTTTCTGTCCATCCACTCGTGTATTTGGACTAGTGCTTGGTTGGCTTTCTCTCTCAGTCCCCTACTCGACCCAGATCTCACAATCAATGTGAGATCGTCCGCATAGGCGACTGCCTCGCAGTCTGTAGGCCACGGCAGGTTTAAAATGTCGTCGTATAGGATGTTCCACGGGCTTGGCCCTAAGACAGAGCCCTGTGGAACACGCTGGGTCATGGTTTTACTGTACCCTTTCACCGTAATCTGTCTGTTCTCGAAGTAGCTCTTGATCAGATTCAGGATCCATTCTGGAGTGTCACTATCTTGAAGTTTTTGGATTATCAGGTGCCACTTTGCGGTGTTAAAGGCGTTCTTAATGTCAATGCAGACCAGAGCTTGCCAATGGTAGTTTGATCTTTTTACTATTGCTTCGACGGCTTCAATAGTGGACTTCCCCTTTCTAAACCCATATTGAGAGTCGGAGATCGTTATGTGTTGTTCTAACTTGATCTTTATCAGGTGTTCGAGGAGCTTTCCCAGTACGTCCAGAATGCAGATGGGTCTAAATTTCATATCATTAGGCTAGCCCTTAGGAATAAGAGCAACCCTGGCTTTTTTCCATGTGGTAGGGAACCTTTGAGTTCTGGCGATGTTGTTGTAGACCTCTAAAAGTTCCATGGGTAGCTCTTTTGCTGCAACCTTCACTACTTCTGGGGTGATACCGTCTAGGCCTGGTGATTTCCCGTTTTTTATTTTTGTCGAGGCGTCTCTTAGCTCTTCTGCTGTAAAAAGGCCGTATTCTTGGGTTCTCTCCCATCTTTCTCCCTCATGTTGCCAGTCAGGAAACAGATCGTCGATAACTCTCTTCTTCTCGTCATTCGATAGTTCGTAGGCTTGACTGCTGGTTCTTATGTGCCGGGTGGCGATTTTGTACCCCTGTCCCCATACGTCGTTCTCTAGGTCGTTACAAAGCTCTTTCCATTTATTATTTTTTTTGATGTGTTTATTTCTTGTCTGTAATCCGCTTTCGCTGCCTTGTATATGGTTTCCAGGCGCTGCACCTGTTCTGGTGTTGTAGCTCTATTCCTTCTAGCTGTAGTTAGTTTTCTCCTATTTGCATTGCAGGCTTTTCTCTTGTCCGCAATGTCCTCGTTCCACCAGTATAACATGTTTGTTTGCGTGTCTTGTGGGTGTCTGATTTCACTGGACCTCTGTGCCATCTTGAGGGTTTCGGTCAGTTTTCCAGGCGATTTGCCGATATTGTGTTTTAGTAGGACCAGTGAGTTCTTCAGGGTTTCTTTGTCTATCCGGACTTTATTACTCCTGAGTTGTTGTTTTTTGTTCTTGTTTGTGTCTGGTGTACCCACTTCGAACGTAATGAAACGATGAAGACTTAGGGACTCTTCGAGAGATACTAGCCAGTTTTGTGTTTGTCTGAATGTGTTTTCCGATGCCAGGGTTTTACATCTATGTAGGATTCGCTCGATCCCCTTACGAAGGTGGGTGTTTGACCGTTGTTTAGGGTAGTTATGTTGAGTGTGGCCATCCATTGTTCGATGTAGGCCCCCTTGTCGTCAGCGGCGGTGGGGCTCCATAGCCTTGACTTTGCATTTAGGTCTCCCAGAATGATATAGTTTGTGCTATTTGATCTTCTAACATCCTCCATAATCTCGTCGATCTTCTCCTCGAATTCCGTCCTTGGGATATTTGGCGATATGTAGCAATTGTAAAGAGTTGTTCCACCGATATTGATTTTAATGTATCCTGTTTTACAGGAGTGCTTTAGTATGCCTACTTCTTTATTCTTAATATATACCGCTACGTCTTTTTTGGAATCTGAGATCAACCCTAGATTCGTTGTATATTTTTTGTTAGGTTCTTGAAGGAAAATTACATCGATAATATGTCTGTTTGCCATGGCTAAAGCTACGTCGTGTGCCGGTCTAGCACGTCCGACGTTAATTTGTAATATTTTGAAGGTCATGATGAGGGAATAAAAAGCGTGTGTAAATTATGTATAAATAGGTGTGTGCGTATGTACAAAGGTGTATGTACAAGTGAGTTCCTTGAGGTATGGATGCTAGTTGGGTTGTTCGGTGCTGTCCATCTCGGCCACCGTGGCACGGGCTTCCTGAAAAAGTTTGTCAAATTGCCTGTTGAAGCAGTCTTCCAAGGAATTTGGCTCTTCTACATCGACTTGTATATTTACTGGTTTTTGGGGCCTCTCGGTTGTGGGTGCCATGAATTTCTTATTTCTCTCTTCAAGTCTAGCGTTCTTCAGAGCGGTTTTGAATTTTGGACATTTCATCATGCCCATCTTGTGTCCTATCGCGTTGCATAGCGGGCAGGCCTCCTCGTTGTTGCAGTCTTTCGAGCTGTGGTCGCTCT